TCAACGGATGCAAGCGACCGCATCACCGACTGTTGCACGCAGATGAGCGTGGAACGACGAACGACGTGGCTACGAGCGCGACCGACTCAAACGCGGCCGCGATGGAACCAGCCACCACCGAAACGACGACGGCTGCCACAACGACAAGCCGCGCCGTCAAATTGAAGATTTGCCCCGTGACAATCACGGGCAAACGTGGGAGCTGCGACACCTACGCGCTCTTCGACGAAGGCTCGACGGTCACCTTATTAGACGACGACCTGGCGCGACAGATCGGCGCCGACGGACCGACCGCACAGCTCAACGTCCGAGGAATTAACAAGAAGCAAAGTCACGTGCAGAGCCGTCGAGTGAAGATTGGAATAAAGGGAACGCGCAGTGACCAGATCTTCAAAATCAACGCTCGCACCATGGTGGGCCTGGACCTCACGCCGCAATCGATACCGGCGGAGGCGATGAAGCTACGACACCTTAGAGATCTCGACGAGCGAGAAGTCGTATACAAGAATGCGAAGCCTCGCATTTTGATCGGGACGGACAACTGGGAGCTCATAGTGACCCGCGAACTACGGTCAGGAAAAACCAAGGAACCAGCTGCCTCCAAAACCGAACTCGGATGGGTAATCCACGGGACGGCGCCATCGAGATCGCTTCGCCGCACCGAGGATATCCTACATGTCGTCACGACCGAAGCATCAGACGACCGACTCGAGGAACTCGTGTCGAGACACTTCCGGATCGACTCACTCGGAGTGTCGCTCGACGCATCACACGTCCGCGAAGAGGACAAGCGTGCCGTCTCCACGTTCGAACGCACCGTGAAGCACAAGGACGGCAGATACGAAGTGGGCCTGCCTTGGCGAAACGACGACGCCAAACTGCCACGGAGTTACGACTCAGCACTCCGCCGGCTCACAAATCTGGAGAACAAGCTGAAGAAAGATCCACGCGACATGAAGGAATACCAGCGGAGGATCGACAATCTACTAGAAAAAGGATACGCCGAACCCTGCGACGGCTCCGAGGACGCTAGCCCCGTCGCATGGTACCTGCCGCATTTCGCCGTCAAGAATCCCAATAAGCCCGGGAAGTTGCGACTGGTTTTCGACGCAGCAGCAAGAATTCGAGGTGTCAGCCTGAACGATCACCTACTCGAAGGGCCGGATCTGCTACGATCGCTGCAGACCATTTTGTTCCGGTTCCGAGAGGGCGCATACGCGGTGACAGCTGACATCGAGGAAATGTTCCTGCGGATCAAGATACGCCGCGAGGACCAACCCGCACAGATGTTCCTGTGGCGCGACTGCAGGCAGAATGAACCACCGCGCAAGCTGAAGATGACATCGATGATCTTCGGCGCATCGAGCTCACCGTTCCTCGCACACAGCGTGAGGGACCACAACGCGAGACAGCATGTTGAGACGCACCCTGCAGCACTGCGCGCAATCACCGAAGCGCACTACATGGATGACTTCGTCGACAGCTTCAATGATCCGAGAGAGGCCCACGAAGTCATCACCCAAGTCGACGCAGTGCACCAGAAGGCTGGATTCCACCTGAGGGGATGGAACAGCAACAATAGGAAGCTGCTACAAGCCGTGAACCCGGATAATAGAGCCAAAAGCGGGACGACGACGTTTGGAGACACAGAGAAGACATTGGGCCTGCTTTGGGATGCAAATACCGATCGGCTGGGCTTCAACACCACCCTGCCTAGAGTCCCACTGCCAGTGAAGTCTCGACAACGCCCGCCGACGAAAAGAGAAGCATTATCGACGGTGATGAGCATATACGATCCGCTCGGACTGCTCAGCTGCTTCACAATCACAGCGAAGATAACTCTTCAAAAACTATGGCGCCTCAAGACCGGCTGGGACGACCCTCTACCATCCGACTTGAGCGAGGACTTCGATGCATGGTTGACAAGCCTGCCAGCAATCGACCAACTACGGCTACCCCGTAGTTACAACGGGGGGAGAGAAGTGCGTCGCCGTGAACTTCATATATTTTGCGACGCCAGCGAAGAAGCCTACGCAACGGCGGCGTATTGGAGGTTGCACTACGGACCCGGCCATGTCATCGAGACAGTTCTGATAGCGGCAAGAGCTAAGGTCGCGCCCTTGAAGACCCAAACCGTACCGCGCCTGGAGCTTCAAGCGGCCCTCATCGGAACGCGACTAGCGAAAGCAATCAGAGAAGAACACCGTGTCAACGTCGACGACACCGTGTACTGGAGCGACTCTCAGACGGTGCTTCATTGGCTGCGGAATGGAAGCAAGCGCTACACTCCATTCGTCGCACACCGTCTGGGAGAAATAACTGAGTCATCCAGACCGCAAGACTGGCGATGGATACCGACGCATCTGAACGTAGCCGACGTCGCCACACGCGCCGGTTATACGCCAGCCAACGAAAACGACCTGTGGTTCACGGGACCATCCTTCTTGAAATTACCAAGATCGGAATGGCCGAAGCAACCAACGGATCGCGAAGATGACGAAACGACGGAAATAACGCACGTCATCACGCACACAACAGAGAGAAACGCGGCGTTACCGGAGATAGAACGATTCTCGACGTTCGAGCGACTGATCGGCGCAACAGCGCAAGCGCTACTTTTCGTGGAAAGATGTCGCGACAGAACGAAGACACTCAGCCGCGAACATTTCAACCGAGCGACAAATTTATGGCTGCAGCAGGCGCAACAAGACTCCTTCAGCCAAGAAATCGAGTGCCTGAAGAAAGGAGTCCCCGTAGCACGAACGAGCCCTCTGCACCGTTACGACCTCACTTGGGAGGACGGGCTTGTGAAACTGAACGGACGCATCAATAAGGCGGACGTACCGGAAACAGCAAAGAAGCCGGTATTATTGGACGGACGCCACGAACTCGCGAAGAAAATCATTGATCGAGAGCACAGACGAGCGGGACACTGCAACAACGAGCGAGTGGTCAACGACGTCAGGCAGCAGTACTGGATCCTGCGGCTGCGACCAACAGTTAAGAAAGTCGCAGAAGGCTGCCTTATGTGTCGACTACGAAGATCGAAGCCAAGGAGCCCGCCGACGGGGGATCTGCCCGCAGAACGTTTACAGCCCTTCAGACGTCCCTTTAGTCATTGTGGGATTGATTACTTCGGGCCAGTCACCATCAAAATTGGAAGACGAAGAGAGAAAAGATGGGTGGCGTTATTCACCTGTCTGACGATACGCGCCGTGCACCTGGAGCTGGTGGCATCACTCACCACTGACTCCGCAATCATGGCGCTGCGAAGAATGGCAGCACGACGAGGATGGCCCGCCGTAATATATAGTGACAACGGCACTAACTTCCGAGGGGCTGACACCGAGCTCAAGAAGGCGTACATCGAGTGGCTTCCCGAGCTGAAGAGAGAGGCGATGAACTACGATGCCACATGGAAATTCATCGCGCCGGGAGCACCTAACCAAGGCGGAGCCTGGGAACGCATGGTTCGCTCCGTGAAAACCGCGCTCAACGCCACATTAAACGAACGAGCACCGAAAGAGGAGGTCCTGCACACTCTACTGGCCGAGGCGGAACATGCTGTCAATTCGCGACCACTGACGCATGTCTCCGTAGACCCAAGCGATCCGGAGGCGCTAACCCCAAACCACTTCTTGTTGGGGTCATCGACCGGCCTTTCATACACCGGGCCATGTGAAGAGGGCGACCGCAGGACTTGGAGGGCGACGCAAGCACTAGCCGACGCCTTCTGGAAACGCTGGCTACGAGAGTACCTACCGACCCTCGTACCACGCCGCGACCCACAACGTCCACGAAGCAGCGAAGTACGGACCGGAGACGTGGTTATCATAGCCGACCACGCTCTGCCTCGAAACACGTGGCCACGCGGCATCGTAGCCAATACCTACCCTGGACCTGACGGCGTGATTCGGAACGTGGAGATAACGACAAGAGGAGGAACATTTCGGCGGCCGACATCGAAGCTGATCGTCGTCGAACCTGCACTCTCCACGGAACGATGAGAGAGGACGCGCTGCGCGACGGGCACGGGGCTGCCAACCGGAGGAGGCTGCGGAGATCCTTCGCCGGGGGGAGACTGTTGACGACAGCCACGTGCCGAAAAATGTACAGATCGAACGACCAATCACAGCGCCTACATTTGCGGAATTCTCAGGGAGCCCATTGGCTGCGTATGCGTCGTCCGCACGGTGGGGGCGATTCCCCCACCCGGCGCGCGGGCGCAAAACGCGCTGTGATTGGTCGGCCGCCGCGCGTCACTAGTAGCTAAGTTAGATGTTAAGTTTAGAATAAGGGTAGGGCCAAATTTGTAAATATTCGTAGTCAAGTCAAGTCAGTCAAGCAGTATAGTCAAGCAGTAATAAGTAGCCAGTAAGAAGAAAATACAATAAATCATCTATAGAAGAAATTCGTCTTTGTTTTTCACCATCATCCACGGTTATACAACATCGTCTACAGTTTGATCCATAGAGCCGGATCAGCACCCTCAATAGTAATTGTTGTAGACCACTCGGGCCTGTACCGGAATCGCAATTTAGCAAAACTTAACAACAAAAAGATAACAACTAAAACAAAACTACAAGAAAACAGTAATTACTCAATCACCGAAAATGGCAAAACAACAAGAAAGGCAGTAGCATTCACAATGAATACCAATCCCAGATTACGTATTTTGACTATTATGAATAAATCATAATCTAACAAAATTAAAAAGCTGTACTAACAAAACGTTTGAAGGGATTAGGCAATGTTTTAAAATTGGTAGAGTTATAGTGACTTGAGAATCGTGCCGAAACTAACTAACCCTGCTTCTTTAGGTTCTTTAAGATGAACACTTTTTATTGTAATAATTATTAACTGTTTTAAGTCAGTAAAATATTCATAAATTTGTTTAATATATAGCTTAAAAGACAACGGTTAAGTATAGCAGCTGGTATTTAAGTGGATATGTAGCAAATTAGCCGTAAGTCTTAAGAATAACATGATTGTTGACATTTTGTCACAAAGTATACCATAAAAAGAACCTTATTTTCATTCTGTCTAATGCTATAATGAATGGAGTATAGTTTGCGGCCATACGATGCGTTGAGTTTGCGTCGCAAATTGTGTACGTGAGGTTGGCAGCGCCACCCACTTGGATTTTGAAATGAGTTCTTGAACCATGCAGTACAATTGCGAAAACGATAAATGTGACGTAGCGTGGCAGCGTCACAATTCTGTATTTATTATGAATTTAAAGTCTGCAGTTTTGGAGCCTACTCAATGCAAACAAACAAATAATCAGATCATTATACTTATTAGGTAGTACAGATGATTGATCTTATAAATTTAAACTATAAGTATTCTTACACTATCAGCGTCGGTCTGGGCTCCTGGAACCCGATATCATTAATACAGTCGTCGATTTTTAACCTAATTCTCAACTGATCAAAGTTTAAATTTAATCAGAATGTCAGTTGAATAATTTATCTCTAGCGCGGTATCGATTTTTTTGTATGATACATTTCGATCAAAATTAATCTAAAAAAAAATTAGGACAGAAGACCCACTGTCCCCTTTTTGGCCATTTGAAACTTCATAGCGTTTTAACTTATAGACATAAATATTTATTAATTTACCGTGAACGGTTTTCAAAACGTTTCATTATGGCTAAAGTAGTCGCGTGAACAGTTATGATGCATCAAATACCTCTCATAGTAGCCAAAATTAGCTCATAATCTTAAAATGGCCAATACCGGGTCTGCCGTATTCGAAGACTTTTATGATTCTATTATTTCATTATGCAATGAGATCGAAAGGTACATCAAATAAATTAAATACCTACGGAAAAGTTAATAATATTTGGCAATGATCTATTTATTGCAACAAAAAAGCAAATAATCGATTTAAAATAATGTTTTTAAATTAAATATTTTGAAACTACATTAGAGATATATTTTTTTAGAAGCTGACTCTAGAAGGGTAAGACATGGATGACGCCAACAAGAAGGTTAGTTTTGAGGAGGATCATAAAACAGCATTTGGAGGCAACATTGAAAGTTATAGAATCAATCTTTCTCCAATAGATATGACTAAAATGAAAGATGATCTCGACCATGTATACGACAAGCTTACAAATATTTTAATATCTGTATTAGATAAAAATAATAAAATAAAAGCTACTCTAAATCTACAGGGCTCCATGAACGAATATGACTATACATCATTCGCATTCAACGCTACTTTAATACTCTACTTGCAAAATAAAGATATCGACATAAACCAATACGTTAAACAACGCATCAATAATGCAAAATATAAAATTCAGAGGAAATACGATGATTACGATAGTAGAAACGGTGGGGGGAAACATCTTGTTTATTTATACTTACATATTTACAAAATTAATGATGTTGAATTTGATGACGACATGAGTTTTGAGAGGTCTGTATTGGAAGGCTTTAATGCAGGTAAGAAAGCATCCGATTTACAAGACAATTACCTCAATGAAATTGTCATGGATGGTATTGATCATCCCGTGCAATTAGACGATATACTGCGTATAGAAGAAATGAACATATTCAGCATCAATGTTTATATGTTGAAAGACGGTATGGAACCTAATGGAGAAAACATAGAAGGGCCTGTGTATTACAGGAAGCGTCGCAAAGAGAAACACGTCAATTTGCTGTTACGGCATGATAATGTGAATAGTCGTTTTAGTAATATTCCAAATCTAAAACTTTTGATTTATTCAAATGAAAAAAATGGTCATATTTGTGATGGCTGCCTTAATTTATTTGATAAGGTTGAAAATTTGCGAATTCACCAGGACGAGGAATGTGTCCGAGTCAAAACAAGATTACCAGAAAATACATTTATTAAATTCGATAATTCGGACCATGCAAAAAGAGTGCCATTTGTTGTTTATGCTGATTTTGAGGCAGCTACTGAAATAATAAATCAAAATGTACAAATAAACATGCCAAATGAAAATTGGACTAAGAATATCAGCAAAAACGTGCCATACCGTTATGGGTATTATATAAAATGCGATGACAATGATTTTTCTGTTAACGTAAAAACAGACAAAAATTTAAATTTAAAACACTATGTTAGTAAATTCACAGATAATCTAGTCGAAGATCTTAAAATACAGATAGAACTCTACACAAAAAAATATCCAAACGCATCTATCAGAACAGTGCCTGTGTTTCTGCATAACTTTAAGAAAGAAAGTAGCTGTTACATCGTACAAGGTGCTAATTGCCAATCCATGCATAGAAGTTACTCCGCAATTCATAAAACAGTGAAAACCACAAATGGGGATATTCAAATACGTTTTCTTGATTCACGCGGCTTCTTAGATGAACCGCTAGCTGAATCTATAAAAAATTTCAAAATAGATTTTAAAGAAATAGACAAGATATGCAATGACGATAAAACAAAGAAAATTTTGATTAGAAACGGTGGACTACCGTTTCCTAAAAATTATATAAAATCGCCTAACAACTTGAAGGAAACATCATTTCTGAAGCGTTGTGATTATAATTCGTCAATAGAAAATAAAAAGGTTGACAAAGAATATGAGAACGCCATTCTAATTTGGAAGACCTTTAACTGCCGGAACATTGATGACTATTTAGTTCTTCGTCTCAAGGCTAATATTCTTTTTCTTGCTGATGTGATAGAATATTTGAGAAACCTCTGCATATCCAACTATGAACTGGACCCAGCGCATTATTATTCAATTGCTGGGTTTAGTTGGAATGCAATGTTGAAATCGACAAACATTAACTTAGAGTTGATCACAGATCTTGAAATGTTGCTTTTTATCAAGAAGGCAATTAGGGGTGGTTATATGCAATGTAGTAAAAGGCACGTCGTCGCTAATAACAAATATCTACAAAATTACGATAAATCCAAACAAGATGTGTATATAATGTTCTATGATGCTAATAATCTCTACGGGCATGCCATGTGCCTATATCTGCCATACGGAGGATTTAAATGGCAACCCATCCATCCAAATTTTGATTACAAAGTCCCCGAAGATTCAGATATAGGCTATATCCTGGAAGTTGACCTCTCGTATCCAAAAGAACTGCATGACTTACATTCCGATTTCCCTCTCTGTCCCAAAAAGAAGACGGTAGATGGTGCTGATAATAAACTCCTTGTAGCTGATTTTAAAGAGAAAAAACGTTATGTTATCCATCATACATTTCTAGCACTTTGTGAAAGGCTAGGACTGAAGATTGATAAAATTCATCGCGTGCTACAGTTCAACCAAAAACCTTGGCTTCAGAGATATATAAAGAATAATATTGAAAAGCGAAAGTGTGCTGCAACCGATTCCGAGAAAAAGTTTTTCAAGCTACTCAATAACAGTATATACGGAAAAACAATGCAAAACGTGGAAAACCAAGGCGATATTCTATTGTTACATCATTGGGATGATACAGATAGTCAAAAAGGCGCCTTACACTTTATAAATAGGGCTGATTACCAAAGACTCTCTATATGTTCTGAAAATACGGTTGCAATAACATTACGCCATACGAATTTAACATTTAAATATCCTATCTATATAGGTTTCTGTATTTTAGATCTAGCTAAAACAATCATGTATAATTTTCATTACGGAATTATGAAGAATAAATTAAAAGATAATTTGAGTTTACTATATACCGACACAGATTCACTTATTTATCAATTCAATAATGAGGACAGTTATGAGTTTGTCAAGAAAGACGAAATCAAGAAATACTTTGATATAAATGAATACGAAAAAGGCAAAAATGATAAAATAGAGGATTGTTGTTTCAAAGATGAATTAAAAGGTGCTATTATTAAGGAATTCGTTGGTTTAAAGTCTAAAATGTATGCGGTAGACGCTGAAAATACTATTAAAAAAGCCGCACATGTACCAAAGGAAGTCAAATCTACATTTGATATCAAAGTTTACAGGGAATGTCTGTACAATAATAGCCCACTTTATAAAGAATTTAATCGGGTTCGGGCGGAGGACCACGACTTATATAATCAAAAAGTTAGAAAAATTGTACTTTCGTCAAACGATCCAAAAAGGTATATATCCGATAATAAGTTTGATACCTTACCATGGGGCCATTATAGTTTATAAGAAAAGATCATTTATGAAAAATAAAAAATGCGAAAGAAATTTGCGACTCAGGCAATAAAGTTCCTCTTTTAAAAACGTTTAAATTATTTTTAAGAAGGCTAATAGTAGAGAGTATCCTTGTTGAACTAATGACGCAATAAACGATGAGTATGTTAGTTTCGGAAGTTAAATATTACAGCTACAGTAGTTATATTAAAATTCTCGAATTTATTAATGATAAATAATAGCAGGAGTACTACGAGATAAAAGCCCACGATAAAAATAAAGAAATATAAATTGATAATAACGTTGGCCCGAGATTACTACCTTGTAATACATCTTATCGTAAATGCAAGGATGTTTAAGGTAACTAATGACTGATAATAACACTTATAACTATACAATGCTCTTTATTGCATAAAACATAATGTATAAATACAATATTTGTTATTGTTATGGGAGGAACCAATGAAAATAATCCATCACTATTACTAATACTAATATGATAATGACTGAAGTACCTTATAACAAAAATTTGTATGAAGAGAAACTTAATTATGAGCTAAGGCATGTGACTTAAGGAATGACATATGATTTAAGGCATTGAAGACTTAATGTACAGAAATGAAGGATGTGGCTAAACTGAGTGTTTCTGGAGTAATAGAATGTTGTTGTTTGGAATTACTTAATCACAGGATTTTTGTTATTTTTATGTATAGACCTCCTAGAACATGTATTATTGAACATAGGAATAGTATTTATTTATTTTTCAAAAAAATTAATGAGATTTTACATAAATATTGTGTAAAACACAAGAACAAAATTATTGTGTGCGGCGATTTTAAAATTGTCATTCTTGTCAATGATAAATTGTGTAAAGAATTTGTTGACATAATACAGGGCTATAATCTAGTTATAAGTATTAAAGGTGGGAAGTGCTTGGATAATTTTTTACAAAATGTCAAAGGCTCTAAAGGGCAAGTAATTGAATTCTCTTTGTCAGACCATAGCGCACAGATACTTACACTACACTACACACACTTTGAAAGTAAGTATCATAAAAGTACTCTTTAAAAAGGGTGATAAAGAAAACAAACTAACTATAGACCAATTGCGTTAATATCGATTTTTACAAAAATTCTGGAAAAAGTGATCTATAAATCAATTTATGGCTACTTTCAAAATAATAACTTGTTTGTAAAAGAACAACAAGGGTTTCGGAAAATAAAAATATTAATATGGCGTTATTTGAATTTGTCAGTAAAATCATTAACAACATGGATTCGGGAACACAAGTAATAGCCTTATATGTAAATATGACGAAAGCTTGCGATTTTGTAGATCATCATGTATTATTACATAAATTTTATACTTAAATATGGAGTTCGTGGGAATATACTCGAGCTTATAAAATCATATATAAGTAATAGGAGGGTTATGACTCAAATCTATGATATATTTTATAAAACCCAATTTGAAAGAAAATATTCTTTTCGACTGAGAAAGACAATAAGTCATGGCGTTCCTCAGGGTTGCGTATTAGGACCGTTACTTTTTCTTATAACATAAACGACCTTCCAAAATCCATACAACGTCCGATGGTGATCTTTGCAGATAATAGTACTATTATTTTTGAAAATAATAACATTGATTATGAAAATGCTATTAATTATGAATTGAACAAAATGATTGAATGGATAGAAGGTTGTTACGGGTTCGGTGCTTGGGTCAATTAAATAGGCTGATCAGCTTGAGTATAATTTATTGATGAAATAAGGGTAATAATAAAAAAACTGTAACAAACAAAAATAAATTTAAAAAACAGTTCGTAAGTTACTTAAACTAATACATTCTTATCAAATAAACGAATACATACCCCTTGTCGGGCTTCTTGTTACACTTTTGGATCGTACAAAATACAGTTTTAATTTAGTAAATATGTTATATTATTGTATCACCATAATATATGAATTATTAAAATTACATAGTAAAATTTATACCAATAATATTGTATTATATTATAATTTCATCTTGTGTATAGGAGAATTTCTTACGAACTGACATCCATAAAGAGTAAAATTGATTAGTCAAAATTTTAAATTACGAAAGACGAATAGTAAAATGAAATGATGTTGAATTTCAAAAGCAAAAAGTTTGCATACTGAAACCTAGGAAAACAAACGGTGGCATGGCACACCGTTACAAGGTAATAAATTGACGATAAATTTAGATAAAACAAAATGCATGAATATTCTAATTATGTGTGCGAAAGATTGAATAAATGTTCGTATGCTTTATATATGCTTAATAAGGTTGCTGATAGATCTGCGTTATTAACAGCATACCATGGATACGTAGCCTCAGTATTAAAATATGCCATTCTTTTTTGGGGATTTTCCTCTAATAAAGGCAGAATCTTAAAAGCACAAAAAAAGTGTATTCGTGCCATATGTAATCTACGTCCTACTGACTCTTGCTACCCCTACTTTAAAAACATTTCCCTATATGTACATATTTGAAGTAGCAAATTTTGTAAAATCTAATTTAATATTATTCGAAAAATTTTTATCTAAACGACATAAGGACTTATTATGTCAAAAATCACATAAAACTGCATTATTTAGTAATAATATAAACGGTATTGCTACTAAAATATATAATAAATTGCCTAAGCACCTAAAACATAATGTATTACAGTATAAATCAAGCCTAAAAAAATATTTATTACAATAGACTTATTATTATAGCATCAACGAATTTTTAAGTGACCCTGACATTTGACATAACATAAAATATTATTAATAATGTCATAATGTCATTTGATTATTATTTAAATTTTAAGTGATGCTTTGGATTATTGTATGATTTTAATTTAGATTTACTTGTATTACAATTGATTGTTGTGTTGTGAATTATTTGTGGTTGTGTTACACTTAATGAATTTATTATTAATTATGTAATGATCTAATAAGATAGGCTAATTGTTTAATTTTATTAAATTAGAATGTAATTATAATTATATTGATATTTGCACGCCATTAAAAATGGCAGATTACACTGGAACATTATTTTTTGAAAAATTCAAGATCTGTATACGTGTATTCTGCAAATAAATTATTATTATAAAATACAAATTACATTTTGAGTCATTATTTTCATAAAAATTCCTGTGTATAACCTAATTATACAATATTTCTTAATTCTACCCTTTTAAAACATAATGTGAAAATGTAAATTACACTTTGTATAAATATTTTCATAAAAATTCCTGTGTATATGTGGCAGCCAAGTGGGATAAAAATTTAATTGAATGGCGTCATTCAATACAATACGGCTAAACAAAGGTCAGCCAACTAATTAACATTCAATTTCATCGGGAATACCAACATTTATTGGTAGGATTAGTACAAAATAAATATTGTAACTAATAGGTAATTTTATATAAAACTCAAAAACTTGTTTGTTACGATCTGTAGTCAATACAGACACAAGACTGCTTATTCGAGACTTAGTATTATTGGACCGTATGATTCAATACAGGAAGCTAACGTACACACCTGTAACACAAATGGTTCAAACTTAAACTTTTACAATAAATTCTTAATACTAAAACAAAGTCAAGATACACCGCAATTAAGACGGCTACAGAGCTATCTATCGAAAATGAGAGTAAGCAATGTATTTGACTGCGATTGTTTTAGTTATTTTAATATGTATATTAGTTATTTATATTTAGAGGTTATTTTGTTACTATATGTGGCGACTGATACATAGCGACATCTAATTCATCGCAGTAACATCGCCACAACAATCGATAGCGAGAAGACTACAGTAGAAGATCCGAACCTAAATCGACCTTCACCGAGTTGATAATGGAATAAAACTTATTGTATAATTAATTTAGTATATTAGAAAATATATTAAAAATGGGTTGGCTAAAAAAATCCTGGACAGAATATTTTTAATTATTTTTTAAAACATATTTTTTTATTAAATGTTGCAACATCAAGATAATAAGAAAAATTTAATTCTGACTTAAAGTATAAAACATATAGAATGTGCAGACGTTGGGTTGTCTATTATTTACCTGGACGAACTACTGGGTTGTCAGGTATAAACAGGTATATCGATGCCAGTTAATTTCACTTGATTTGATAATAAAAAAAAATTATATCAACATAAGCGCTGTTTCATTACGAACACATTGATATAGGGTTGTCTGCAAAAAATTCGGTCCTAATACGGGTTTGCGAATTTTAAAAATTAAAATTTTAACGCGTGGGAAAGTGAGTGACAGAGAGATCCGAGGAAAGTATTTTTATAACAGGTAATATGGTAACCTATAAAATCGAGCGCTGCTTTAGTAAGCTCAACTTCATGATATTTAAAGTTTTTGTTTTTACGAAAAGCTAGCTTCAACGAACAATTTTTAAAAGTTTCAACATTAAAATCATTTAAAGAATCGTCCGAACCACACAAAAAACACTTTTTAGCCATTTTTTATCACAACAATACAGAATAACATACTCCAAAATAACGTGCTCTGTTTACTATACCTCCACCCTCCATATTTTACATTCCGAGCATGCGCACTTTCATATATTCAGGGTCCGATCAGATGCGACTGCAATGTTGGGTCCTTTACTATTACACGGTATACTTTCCTCGGATCTCTCTGTCACTCACTTTTCAACGCGTTAAAATTTTAATTTTTAAAATTCGCAAACCCGTATTAGGACCGAATTTTTTGCAGACAACCCTATGGGCGCTTGTGCACTACACTGAATTTTCAGGTCCGGCGGTCCGATTTTTTCCGGTCCGGAATGACATGAAAAACTCGGATGAGTAGCTTGTGCACTTGTCCGTTTTTTTCCTGATCGGAGCGGCGCAGTGTAGGGCAGCTCTCTTTGAAGCTACACGTCACTTACGCTAGGTACGATGAGATTTTTGGAACGTCGGTAATTCCGTTCGAAGACGTAGAAAGTTGCCTAAATAATGATCTGATCGTTTTACATAAACCATAATAAATTATGGCAAGACGAAAGCATTTTTTTTACTACTGTCGGATGACTACTATCAGATGTAAAAACTTTTACACTAACTAATTTAGGGACAGCATTATTCACATACAATAGCTAAAAATATCTGTGACATTAGAATAAAATTACTAATAATGGTCTAGTACTTGATGTTTAAATTTTTAAACGAGTTATATTTTTTCGAAGTTTTGTAAATACAACTTTCAGCGATTACAGAGATAGACCAATCGGTGGCGCCATTTCGTAAACAAATCGAAATTAGTGCCGTGTTAGCGGAGAATTATTATGCTAAATGAACTTTACGAGATCAGTTGACTGTATTATATATAGTCATAATTTTATACGCGTGGTTAATTACTTTGAGCAGAAATATAATCCCCTTAGAATACTTTTTTAATTTTATTTTAATAATGACACAAACATACATTTAAAATTTTATTAAATGCGAAAAAGACATCGAGTGTCATAATTACTTTTGTTAATCTTCTGTTTATTCTTTATTATTACTTCTGTTGTCAAATATTTATCTA